AAGTAATTTTGTTTTTTACCACCAGAGGGATTAGTTGTATTTTTACCCACCAATTTCATTCTAAATTGTATTGTCATTATATATTTTGACAGATGACATTTCAAGGCTTATTTGTAAAAAATTTTGTTTGATTCTTTGCAATTTTGACAAGACTATGTTTTGTTTATAAAATCATACTGCCAGCTGGGTTACCAGCTTAGAGGTATGAAGGAGTACATGTCAGGAGTTGCAATTTTAGGCACAGAGTATTAAGTGCCCAAATCATATGTGCATAAAAAAAACCAGACTTGTAGGTATTCTGGACCAAGAACCGAGTCAGAATAAAATACAAAATGGCAACACTCTCTACAAACAGGCAGTAGTGCAAGATTTGTGCATGCGTTGCTCGTTGGGAAGTTTGAAAAGCAAACGTTGCTAAATCGAATTTTAACAAATGAATCTTTGAAAAAACCCACTTACCTGTCCTGTGTTATTCCCCATATATCTCTGGTTGCCATGTGCTGACCTTGACTGGTTGACTGGAGATATCTCATTTCATCATCAGAACGTTTTTGAAACTAGATGGCGCATCATTATAATTTTATATTAAAACTAACTTCCGAAATATAATTTTTTTTTTACATTTATTAATACATATATATTGTTTGTGCAAAATAAAAAAATAATTTCAGAAAATACAATAGTCATCGTTATTTTTTCAAAAACGAGAAATTTTCATTAGGCATCAACAAAAATTCAACCTGGAGTGACACACAACGGAGAGAAATTTCGATATTGGATAGGTTAATTTCACTGAAAATGCATTGTGGATGACATTGTGGCCATGGACAAGGCTGGCAAAGTTTGAACGATTGCACTCAAAACTAGCAATACCAAAGAAGATTGGAGAATGAGAATGAAACCCACCTTGAGCGTCAAAGTGATCCAGCTTAGTAGTGAGTCTCCGAGACATAGTCTTGTCCCAAATACGGCTTTGGTGCTTTTTTATTACCCAAAAGGTAAGAATGCTGTTCAAGCAAGAAAAAAATTGTGTGATGTATGGCGATGTGTTGAAAGAACGACAATGCCAAAACTAGTTTGCAAAATTTTGTTCCATCAATTTCAATATTGAAGATGCACCATGCATATCTTCATCAGCTTCAACTGAGAGGCCAGTTGAAGCTGATTAAGATATTAAGGTATTGAAGAAAATAAAAGTATTGATTGAAGAAAACTCAAATAACACACTAGAAGTTGCTAAGAGATTAAATTTATTGAATTCAACTGTTTATGATCACTTGAAAGGACTTGGTTTCATTTCAAAGCTGAATATATAGGTTCCCCATGTTCTTAAAAAAAGAGATTTGCTCTGTTGCATTGGCATCTGTGATTTACTTCTCAAACGTCAAGAAAATGATCCATTTTTGAAGCAAATCATAACTGGCAACAAAAAATGGATTGTTAAATGTGAATGATCATGGAGTAGAAGAGATGAGCCTGCTCAAATCACTTTGAAAGTTGATATTCATAAAAAAAGTGATGCTCTCTGTTTGGTGGGATTTTAAGGGATTTTTTTTTTTTAGTTTCTACCAGACAATTTGACAATTTATTTGGAAGTGTACTGCCATCAACTGGACAAATTGAATTAGTGTTACCACCCATCCGGTTTTTACCTGGACAGTCTGGGAATTGACTCACTGTCTGAGTGAACTATGAATTTTGTCCGGGAATTTCATAGAAATTGTGAAATTATAATGAAATAAAGTTCTTGCAAATATTTTTACAAATTTACACTATTTTAACAGCGAAAGAACTCACACTCACTGAAACTCATCTGCAATTCTGCCATGTTAGTATGTTTATTCCGATGTGTTGCGCGCAACCTGTTGACTTTTTTTTTTGCATATACAATTGTACACGTCTCCAATAGAGCTAAGTTATCTGTACCTGTTCTTTCTTAATTTATGTTACTTACGTTACTCCTACGCAAGTCTCTAGTCCCTAACTGTAACTGATTTAGAACCTGCATGCACGTTATTCTTTGCATTGTAAAATGACATTGCGCATGCGTCAGGAACTTCTGTTCGAACAAACCTGACCTGCTATCTGGGTCAGCGATTTTGAAAAGGTAGCAACACTAAATTGAATGATACCATCAAACTGAAAAGGTGTAGTGTTTCACCATGATAATGCCAGAGTTCACACAAGTTTGGTAAGTTGTCAGAAGCTGTTACAGTTTTGATGGGATGTGCTACCACATTTACCATATTTGCCAGATCTGGCACCCTCAGATTATTATTTGTTCTGGTCTTTACAAAATTTTTTNAACTTATCTGGAATTTCAAGTCATATTTTTTTCATGCAGAAATCTATGTTTATAAAAAAAAGTATATATATACTATATGTAATGAATGTATGGATATCTCATGCTACAGTTATACAAAGTATAACAATATATTCACAATCAAAATTTAATAAATGTGTGATCAATGTGTCTTTGAATAGGATTTATATTTTAAAAATAAGTAGATGAACAATGTTTCATTTTTAGTATTACAAGCTAATATTCTATATCTAAGCTTACTTTCCAGAATGATTCTGTTTATTTCATGCAATTATCCCAATGTGCCAGTTTTATTCCAATTATTTATTGCAGTTTCTATTTAATAACAAATGTACAAATAATCACATCTTACTTATCTTACTTATAGTTTAAATAAAAAAAAAACTTTAAAACTTTTGGTTATAAAATTTTTTCAAAAAATCTTGTTTTCTTTTTGAAGCCATTTTATTAAAATTGTTCTTATTACAATATAAATTACAAATATTTTTTGGAAATAATCTGAATTGAAAACAAAATAATAATGGATTTTTTCTTCTTCACCAAGCTTAGGACTTTCACATATTATCATAAAAACAGGATTGTCTATTAAAACATTTTTTTGATTACTCTTGTCATCAAACTGTTTTTCATGATTGCATTCCAAAGTCCATGCAGTTCATTCTAAAAGGTTTTCCATATAAAAATTAAACATTACATAATTCTGCATATGACATTAAATATGCAATAAAGTTGTGTTCAAAAAAAGTAATGTAGACCTCTTGGTACTCACCAAACAGAAAGAATAAGAATGTGGTTATTAATTTTTCTTGTTTTTAATAGATATTATTTGTTTATTTCTTTCTACAATATAAATTTTTTAAGTAAAATTTTTGAGTAGTAATGTAGTATTTTAGGTGGTATCATTAATAGTATTGATCAGGTTGACAGATTGTGTGATTACTTGCCATTTGTGTAATTTTAAATTGTTTAGGCAAAGTAATTTTGATTTTGGAAATTGGGGATTTTTAGGCAGTTTAAAATAGTTTTGTGATTTAAGACCTTTCTTAAAAGAAACAAAGAAATTTGTATAAAAATTGTTTTATTTCACTCTTACACTGTGATGTATAATAGAAATCACAGGCTCAAAGTTTGGTTCTAAGCTGTAGAAATTTTTGGAGATTTTAGTGTTGTTTAAATTAATGATGAAACTTTTGATACATTATCAAGAAGCAATGCATCTCATACACAGAAATTACTGTGGAATTATTATGAAGACATATTACTTGTAATGCAGGCAAAAAGAAATCAGACAGTACTTGAATTTTCCATCAATAGATACAGACCAAACAATCTGCTGGATAATGTCTATATTATATATATATATAAAGAACAATAGCAGTTTAAATTTGAGAACACAATAATTCTTTACATAAATATTTCATCTAATAACACTGCACTGACACAATGGGCAGTAGAAAAAATATCAAAGTGCATTGGGGTAAATTTGTAGTAGTAAAAAATTGCTCTGACATGCATAGAATTAGAATAGTTGAGCAATGTTTTTTTACATTATGGGAAGATACTTGAATGTCATTAGTCCACAAGATTCAATTAATCTGCACAACAGATGGTAAGGGATATTTGGTTCATTTGATTGGGGAAAACTAAATGTATATGTTTTATTAATATGACAAGTGCATATTTACAATAATTGCATCTTATCATTTATGTTCAAACCAAAAAATAATAAATGAACTTGTAATGTTTATTAATTATTCATTGTTTATATATATACATACACTGCATATTTTGTTTTGAATTTATGTAAAATGTTTGACCTTGAATTAAATTCAAAAGCTGTTGGATTTTTAAGCTGAGAATGTTCCATTTTGTTGGAACAAAATTATTTTTGTATGTTAATGTTTTGGCTGTCTGAAATAAGCATTGAAAGTAAATAATTATTTTATTAGCAGTCTAATCTTCTTAAATTCAAATTTTATGTTTCACTTGCATTAGTAAAAACCTGATACAAGTTTAAGATATTAAGAATTTTTATTTTGTTAGTATTCTGGAATATTTGTACTTAATCCTAATTTTTCTTTTGCCTGATGATAAATTCTTTTATCAAAAGTACTTGCTTTGTTTTATCATATTGTATTTTTAACTTATTAAACTAACACAAAATGGCAGTTTTTTCTTGTTTTATCTTTTGTGTAAAGCAGTCCTGGCCAACTCATTGCCTGCTGACAATTTTTACTTGCATTATGTTTCATTAAATATCCAGAAACATATTGCTTGTTTCACATGATTAAAATAGGTTCATCACCATTCCAATTGATAATTTCAATAAATTGTCTAGATTTGAACACATGCTAATCATATGTATGAAGCTTTAAATATATTTTTCATTAGATGAATGTTACTTTTAGCAACTTACTTTGTTGTGCAGCATTTTAATGTTGCCAGTACAAAGGGTTTCCACCATGGAGTGTTATATAAAGAACATGTGATGTATCCAGTGTTGCCAAGTTAGTAAATATTCTATTAAATCTGGTAGATTGAGAATTTTTTGCCCCTTCTTTGTAACTACAACCCCATAGAAAATTTTGGGTTAGCCAGGCTTCATGTGAAAAATTATATAAAAATACATATACATATAAATAAATCATAATATTTATATTTCTTTTTTTATCAATAGGAAACTGTTAAAGTACTGTTAAGGCATGAAGCTGATGTTAATGCTCGAGATAAACATTGGCAAACACCACTTCATGTTGCAGCAGCAAACAATTCACTCCAATGTGCCAAGTGTATTATCCCATTTCAGAATAATTTGAATATATCAGATCGTGGTGGTCGGACAAGTTTACACCATGCTGCCTATAATGGACACAGTAAGGTAATCACAATTAGCTTTTGACCAGAAAAGTTTTATAATGCTTATTATAAAGATTTATCTTAGGTTTACAATATTTCTCTTAGCCACCAGATGATATAATCTAGAGGTGGGTATAGTTACAACTTATCTGGAATTTCAAGTCATATTTTTTTCATGCAGAAATCTATGTTTATAAAAAAAAGTATATATATACTATATGTAATGAATGTATGGATATCTCATGCTACAGTTATACAAAGTATAACAATATATTCACAATCAAAATTTAATAAATGTGTGATCAATGTGTCTTTGAATAGGATTTATATTTTAAAAATAAGTAGATGAACAATGTTTCATTTTTAGTATTACAAGCTAATATTCTATATCTAAGCTTACTTTCCAGAATGATTCTGTTTATTTCATGCAATTATCCCAATGTGCCAGTTTTATTCCAATTATTTATTGCAGTTTCTATTTAATAACAAATGTACAAATAATCACATCTTACTTATCTTACTTATAGTTTAAATAAAAAAAAAACTTTAAAACTTTTGGTTATAAAATTTTTTCAAAAAATCTTGTTTTCTTTTTGAAGCCATTTTATTAAAATTGTTCTTATTACAATATAAATTACAAATATTTTTTGGAAATAATCTGAATTGAAAACAAAATAATAATGGATTTTTTCTTCTTCACCAAGCTTAGGACTTTCACATATTATCATAAAAACAGGATTGTCTATTAAAACATTTTTTTGATTACTCTTGTCATCAAACTGTTTTTCATGATTGCATTCCAAAGTCCATGCAGTTCATTCTAAAAGGTTTTCCATATAAAAATTAAACATTACATAATTCTGCATATGACATTAAATATGCAATAAAGTTGTGTTCAAAAAAAGTAATGTAGACCTCTTGGTACTCACCAAACAGAAAGAATAAGAATGTGGTTATTAATTTTTCTTGTTTTTAATAGATATTATTTGTTTATTTCTTTCTACAATATAAATTTTTTAAGTAAAATTTTTGAGTAGTAATGTAGTTGTTTTAGTTCTCATTTAAAGATGAAAATGTAACTACTATTGATTAATTTAAACTTCTATAATATAAATAGGAAAAGTAGCGAAATTTTGGGATATATTTAAATAGTTTGATTGGTTACAATATAATTATGTAGAAAAAGAATAGGAATGTGATAAATTATTCTATAATAATTATTTTTTTTATATGTTCAAGCAGATGTATCTGCTTGAACATATAAAAAAAAAATAATATTACAGTAGAACCCCTCTAGTCCGCCCTCGGCTAGTCCGTCACTCCGGTTAATCCGACTGTGGTCGGAGTCGAGAAACTTGTCCCGACTCGTCGGTGACTCACCGTCCATGGCGTGTTTCTGTGTTCGTTATAGTATATGTTTTACATTGTGTGTACATGTACAGTTTTGTGTGTGTTTTCAACATGTCAAGAGTGAAACGTAAACACTTTACTCTTTCATTAAATGAAAAATTAGCAGTGCTACAAAGACTAGACAAAGGGGAAGATTGTTTATTTTACTTTTTTCTGATAATCCGACCTTTTTTGCGTTCCGACCATACCCCCAGTCCCAAAGGTGACGGATTAGAGGGGTTCTACTGTAAGAGAATAATACAGTAAGACCCTGCTTAACACGGGGGGATGCATTCCTAGATAACAAAGCGCTAAGCAAAACAGTGTTAAATGAGGTCATTTTAACATAGAGTAAATAAAGATAGGGGAAATTATTCTTTTAATCACTATATCAGTGTATTTCTATTAATTGTTTTATTTTTCAATTACAGGTAATTGAAAAATAAAACAATTTTAATCTGTGTAACTGTGAGTCTGCAATCTTGTACACCAGCATGATAAGTCCTATTAATAGAAATACACTGATATAGTGATTAAAAGAATAATTTTGATTAAATTAAGGACATAAATGCATATTAATTAAAGATAGGGGAACATCGCAACCAAAAATAAACAAATTTTACTTTAATTTTAAGTTAATTTTATATTAATTTGTATAATAATATATGTTAAATAACACACAAACATATGCACACAGAAATGTAAAGTTCATTTTTTGTGACGAATGTCCTGACTTTTCTGAAATTCTTGTTCTTTTGCAATAAAGTTGTGAAGTTTCATTTCTTGCTTTTTTCTTTCCTTAAGCAAATGTCAGTAGCAGAAGATTGCATCCAAAACACCTCATTTTGCTTTTGCACTCCTTTCAAAATCAGGATCATTTGCTACAATTTGATTAATGATTTTGGTTATCTTACCAAACTTTTACTAAGGAAATCTGTAGAGAAAATTTTGGGTTCTTCATTTTCAAAATCTCTATTTTCCAGTTCCGCATGAATTTCATATTCTGCCAGTTCTTGAAGGTCGTTGTCGGTAAGGCTCTAACCAGAAACCTGCTGTAACTCCTCAATATCTTGCTTGTCTATATCTCCTAGTCCTGCTATATTGATTAGGTTGAGTTTGGTCAACCTAACAATATGGCGATAGGCTCTTCTCATTAAGAATTCTTGGATACCTTCAGCCATAACTTCTTCCACACTCTGTTCATGCATTCATCAGTTAATTCTTGCCAAGCTAAGTCGATATTTCCTATGGCATCCATGATGATATATTTTTTCCAAAATTGCACGAAACGAACATAGATTTAAAGAAAGTACACCTTTTTGCCACCTTTTGCTGATTGGTTTGTGTTTGCAAATAATCATATTATATATGAATCAATAAAATTCTGCGATAATTTAACTCGGCATAAATTTTGAGTTTTTTTTATGCTTCGAGCAGACCTCATTATATCAAATCAGTGTTAAGCAGGGTCTTACTGTAATTATAATGCTAATTAAGTTTTTAATATTAGGAATTATGAAATCTGTGTGTATTATATCAAATGTTATATTGCAATATTCAAAAATTTTCAATAAAAATATACAGTACAGCATCGATTATCTGACTCAATTGGGGACTGCGGTTGGTCGGATAATTGAAAAGTCGGATAACCGAAAAGTATGAAAAAATCCATTATTAGTGTAGTATATTATTATATCCCATGTAATTAGTATATTGGTATTATATATCGCTATTAACCTATTTCGCATTGAAGTTTCCTCCACGTTAAGCCTATCAAATTTTTTTTAAAAATAATAATCGTCACTATTGTATCGTTGAAAATTAAGCCTCGTTTAAATACTGGCTCCCTTTCATGGTCGATTGAGTGTTGCCAGCTAAAACACGTAAAAATAATATTAAAGTAGCCAAGACAGCCAAATATTGTAGCACCACATCACTAGCGGACATTTGAATTTGCCGACTAGAACGCGGTCAGTTAACCGAGGTGATGGTTAATCGGGGATCGGATAATCGGTGCTCCACTGTATTGTGAAAAGTTGAAAGATAGTATTTCTGAAATAATAATATTTTTGAATTTATTTATTTTTGATTTTTTTGTTGAAAAATCATTATTAGATCAAAGAAAAACAAGGGTTGTGTTAAAGTTACATAAAGTATATACAGGGTGGTCCATTTATGATGTCCCTGATAAATATCTCATAAAATATGTGTCCAGTTAAAAAAGTGATCAGAATAAAAGTTATTTATTATTGAGGATTCTTTCAGCTGCATAAAAATTAAGCTATTCCCTTATATGATGGCAACTTTATAATTTCAAATGGTATCCCATTATTTTTTATTTTTGGATTCTTAGTTAAAGAACAACCAACTGGATAATTACTTCAAATAACTAACAAATAACCAGATTTCATTATCAGGCTATTAAGGCTAAATAACTTCTAAGATAACTTCTAAGTAATTTAACAGGAGGTAGGCAGTTAGGCTGCCATCAATTTTAATTTAAATTTAGAATATTCTGGAAGAAAGGATCAGCCCAGAATATGACTCAAACCTGGAACTCCTGTTTACCTTGCAGACATAATGCCAGTTATGCTGTCTAGACCTCATCCAATTTTTCCTTACAGATTAATTAACTAACTAATTTAGATATAACCATGTCAGTCATTTACATAATTATTAAATTTAACAAGAGATGAAGAGACTAACTATCTATCTTCTATCATATTAGTTATTATGTAGCCTTAACAACCTGATAAAGGAATCTGACTGTTCATTTTATATTTGAAGAATAATATAGTTTTATTTAAGACATATTTCCAAAAATGTTCATAAATAATAAAAATAGGGAGACATACTATTTTTTTCTATTTTTGGATTCTTGAATAATAGTTTCATTTAAAATATTTTTTCCAAAATATTTCAAAAGTTATGAGCATTTTTAGTTGTATTTTCAAAAAGTTTTTCCTTCAGCGGTATAGAAAATTTACTGTAAAAAATGTTCGAATTTTCTATTATTTGTTTAGTTATTTCAAATCATTTAATTCAGTAAATGTAAGAATTAAATTATTAACAGAATTGACATTTTGATTAAAAAAACTTTTTTAAACTAGGACATCTTTTAACTATTAGTAATTTCAAAGGTACAGATAAAAATAACACTAAAAAAAGATTACTGCAAAAAATTTGAATTTGTTCAAAAAAATTCTGGATGAAAATTGTTTAAATTTTTATCTTGAAGCATAATTGATTATGTAATTATTTAAATATTAATTAACAATATTTAATTGTATTAAATATTAATATATTTAAATATTTTAGTTATGATTAAGATCATTAAAAAATGGCATTTCTTTAACTGTTACTTTTTGAACATACAACTGAAAATGCTTATAACTGTTGAAATTAACAATTTTGGAAAAATATTTTAAATAAAACTATTATTCTTTAATCAAGAATCCAAAAATAGAAAAAAATAGTATGTGTTCCTGTTTGAAATTCTAAAGTTGCCTCCTGCCCTATAAAGGGGCAGTGGGTGTCTTAATTTTTATGAAATTGAAAAGGCTCTTCAAAAATAAACAACTTTTATTCTGATCACTTCTTAAGTGGATGTGTATTTTACAAGATATTTGTCAGGGACATTGTAAATGGATATACTGATAAAGTATTCCATAAAAGTTGAATTCATAAATATATTTTCTGATTAGTAAACAATAATTTATTGATATAATATGCAAATAAACACTTTTTAATATGATTTCATGCTTTAAAAATATTTAATATTGAACTTTGATATTATTGGAATAAAAATATAGTGTAGTGCAAACCATATTACATTTTTAACGTGTTGCATACATCTTATGATTTATATTAATGCCAAATGAATTGCCAGATTATAAATCAAAATATAAAAAGGCTAATTTAATGTTTAGATAAAAGCAATTTGGTAGTTTGTATAGTAGTTATTATATTAACTTATGTTAAATAATTAATAATTTTTATATTTTACTATATTAAAATTTTCATCAATATTTTCTCTAGTCTGGAAACTGGGATGTTGTTTGTTATTTTTCAGATGGTTGACTTACTGTTACAGCATGGTGCTGCTTGTAATTCATTTGATAAGAAAGATAGACGAGCAATTCATTGGGCTGCATATATGGGTCACACTGAAGTCATATCAATACTTTCAAATAAAGGTGCTGAACTCAATGTTCGAGATAAAGAGGTATAAATACTTTTCTCTTTTACTAATAATTTAAGTTTATTTTTAGACAGTTTAGTTAAATTTAAATTAAACAAGATTTTAAACTGAAAATTTTCTATGTTCATCTAACATTTTTTTCTTGTTTTGTTGATATTCATAATTTTATGTCTGTCATTCATTCACATATTATTTTGCTTTTCAGATTATATGAATTTTTAAAGTTTTTGAATATTATTGATGAAACTATTATGAATGGGTTATTTCCTTTTGATATTTTTAAAGTATCATATTTCAAACTATTATTAAAATAAATTTTATTTCAATTAGATTATAGGATGTTGTTGATTTCATTTTTACTTTCCTGGCTGTTATGTATACAAAACAAGGGAAAGTATTGGAATCATATCAAATTTGACCCCCAAGTTTTTTTTTTTGCAAATTTTCACATTTTGAGACCTCCCGAATTCAAAAAAGTAAAAAAACCGGCAAAAAAATTTCATGTGTGTGTTGGTGTCTATTTTGCTTAATATCTCAGGATGAGGTAAAGATTAAGTAACAAAATTTGGCATGGTAGATTGTATATGAGAGACATTGGTGCTATTAAATGTTGGTGGTTGAAGGTTGGGAGATAAAGGGGGTTGTGTGTATCTCCAGTAGGGAGACTGACTTAATGATGATTTTACTCGTTATCAACATTTATAATTTTTTTTTTAAATAAAACTCATCCCTATCCTCAAAATTAAGCTTTTGCCATTATATAATATAAATATAAAAAATATATTAAAAAATTTTTATAACTAAATCTCATAACAGATGGTGCCATACACAATTTTATTAATTTATATTGTAATTAAAATTATAAAAGTTATTTTCTAAATAAGTTTTCATAGTAGCTGGGAAATTTATGCAACTCATTGCTGGAATTTTTTTATTATTCTACAAAAATTCAAAAATAGTCAAAATTTGCATCCAATACAACAATTTATTCAATTCATTTAACTTTAACATTTATTCAGGCACAAAAAAATACTTTCTAGCATTGCATGATTATATGTTTATTGTACAGTACATTAGTTCCATTGCAATATTTACAGTAAAATACATAAATTTATTTAAAAAGAAGGAACTATGTAAATTACACATTAGTTCTGAGGTAATACGTAACTTTTCCTGTCTCTTTCAAGCTAAATAAAATATATAAATTTTCTTATCTCTGTTTTAAGGATAATGGAAAAGAATCTATCTGTAAAGGATAAAACCAACATTGTATAAATTAATACAAAAACAATTAGGTTTTTTTATTTTGCTATAGTATATGTTTAAAACAATCACCTTTACTGCCAATACAAAAGTCTTGAGGGTGGTGTTATGGATGGCACATAGCATACCTGGAGTGACAATACAAGCTTTTCTTATTCATCTTTGCTGCTTGTCAACATCACATGTTGCTGCATGAGTATACATCATAAACTGGTGCTTTTAAGTGACCTCAGGAAAAAAATCCAGTGGGATTAAGTTTGAGGAACACAGTGGCCATGGAATGATACTACATTGTTCTATTCATTAGTTGTCAAATTGCTTTGTTAGTCATTGATGGACATCTGCCTGGAAATGAATTCGTGGTCATCAAGCTAATCATCCATTGTCATGTATAGGATATTTAGCAATAACTGGTCCAGGGGCTGTTCATGACTACAGGACCAAGAATCTGCTTACTCCAGATGCCATAACAGATGTTCAGTGTAAAATGTACCTTGTGTCATATATAACCACTGTGCTGGGCATGTGATACCACTGAGCACAGCATATTCTCACTTGCTATCATCATATATGCTCTATGGTAATTTCTTACTCTGTTCTAGGAAAAAAATATGTTGTCAGTCCATCAGATGTACTCAAGCAGTTGTGATTTAACCTAGTGTAAATCTATCATGATGATGCATCAGTTAAACAGTTGTCCATTATCCTTTGCATGTTGTCCAGTTGCAGTTAAACAAGTGCATGTCATGCCAATGTAAAATTTGATTTCTTTGTGACTGCTGCAGTCCACATTGCCTCACTGCATCTTGTATGTTTGTCATATATGGAATTACATCAAAACAATATGATGAAAATTAGAACAATCCTGACTATGATTCCTGACAGTGCTACAAGTTTGCATCAAACAGCATATTATATTTAGAATTATGTGTATAATGTCATGTATATACATGTAACAAATGTACATATATAAGTCATGGTGTAACTAAAAAATGCTTGTGAAACCTATGTGCTACTTTTTGTGCATTTTGTCTCATTTGCCTATAAAATATAATCTTTTATGGTAGTGTTTGTGAGTATAATACATTGTTGTGGTGCTCTACAAGTTAGCAGACTTCATGTTCTTGCTTCTTTTGTAAAGACATTGGTATCATGTTTCACTATGTGATTTGTCAAAGTTATATTTTTAATTTGCATCTTGTTCTTATATGTTTGAAAAATTCACTTATTGCCTTAGAAACTACTGTGCATATGAACATATAAAAGCAAAAATGATTTAAATAAGGTTCAAGGATCATATATTAATTTGACTGTCCCTTTTGAAAGTCCATTCTAAAGATCATGCAGTGTTTTACAATTGTTTACATTTATAATCTTTTGTTTGCTGCTCTAAAATTATCTTTACAGCTAAGTTTCTTCATTATTTCAGTTTCATCATACTTGTTTTTTTTATAATCTGCCATAGTCTCAAATTGCTTATTAGTATAGATTGATTCTTGTTTGGATAACTATGTTAATTTTCTATCAGCTATTAAAATGCGTTAAAACCAAAATTATCATAATGACCACAAATGACTTTAAGGTGACTGTTTTATCATTTCATTTTTGTTGACTCCAATATGCATTTCAGATGTATACATTCATCCCTCTTCAATTGGGTACAATATTATATAATATTTAGTTAACAGCTAAAATTCTACATTTTTTTTTTTATAAAAACAGGTAAAATATAGATAAAAAATAGAACTTCTATTATTCACTTAATGCCTGAACAATTTCATAATTTTCCAATGCATCCACCAACTGAACTCACAAAATACTTTACACCAATATCCAGTTCACTAACCATTGCATAACTAACAGGACTGTCAATTATGCTATGAAATGGATCACATAAGGGTATCCTTAGATGATCCATTGCTTTATAAGCTATTAGTGATGCATTACTGTACATCACTGTTTTAGACTTTTAAATTTATGTACCCCTTCATCAAACTTCCTCCATGTTTTTGTGTTTTCCAAGACATGTTTCATATTGTCAATCAGATTATGAAAATAAGAAGTATACTTTTTACATATATAGAGAACAAATTATGGATTAAGTAATGAAAGTTACAATATTACTGATCTTGCCATTTAGTCATCTAAGAAATATTATTAGATTAAATCATGCTTGTGAGATGGTTATAGCACTTATGTAAACATAACTAATTTATATCAATATTTAGAAGCATTCAGCATTAGTTATAAAGAAATGCTGTTATAGATTTGACAGATTAAATAAGTATTTTAGTTTGTCAATATTTGCATCATACTATTGCACTATATTAGCTGCTCACTGATGTAAATTTTCATATGTACTTCACATTTTTTTGGTTAATCTGTTTGTAGATTAGCAAGGGTGAGTTTGTGACATGCAATGTCCTTTTAATCCATCCAAGAAGGCCATGCATTTGGGTGACTATGACAAGAAAGCGAAATTAGGATACTAAAAAATCCTTCATGAAAATTTGACTTTTGGATCATTTTTGACTGCTGCATTCATATGGTTCTAAAGTGGAATCAGGAATATGGGATCTCTTTCAGCATCATTTTCAATATGTCAATAAATACTTCAATATATAGTTGGTTTGCTGTATGTTATATTAACAATGTAAATTCGTCTCTGTAATATTCGTCTGTAAATTCGTCTCGTCATATTCTTGACTTCAATAATAATAGAATACCTACTCTAAATATTAGGTTAAAAACTCATAAGGAAGTAGAAAAATTTAGACCCATCGTAGATTTCAAATACTCCATTCTTTATAATTTAGAATATTACATAAAACAACAGTTAAAATGTTTTGAAAACTCTGTATACAGCATAAAAAAATGCTGATACTGTCATTAATAGGATACAAAAATTGAAAAAAGATAATTCTGATAAATTAATGAGTTTAGACATAAAAAATATGTATCCCAGTATAAATTGGAAATTAATAGAAAAAAGTTTAAGTAAACTTAATGTACATAGTAATTTGATTAACTTAATACAATTTGCATACAATAACAATTATTTTGAAGTTAATGATGTATTTTATAGACAGTTAGATGGTATTAGCATGGGGTCAAAGATGGGACCAAAATTAGCTGAATTAGTTATGATCGATATTGATAAAAAAATAAGTGAAATACATGGCATAAAATTAATAATGAGATATGTGGATGACTATTTGATCATATATAATAGTAATTTAACTAATAAAGAAACTATCCATAACTTTATAAATAATATAAATAAGGACATTCAGTTTGATATTGAAGAAGAAGTAAATAAAAAAATTAATTACCTTGATTTAACTATATTAAATAACCCTGTTAAATATAATTTCATAACATATAAAAAATCTTGTAATGTTAATAAAACTATAAATTATCATTCTTATACCCCAGTTTATATGAAAAAGAATTCTTATTTTATGGAATTAAAAAATATATATACACGCATAACCGATGACCATAATATAAACACCAAACTTAAAGATTTAGAAATAAAATTTATAATGAATGATTACCCAAAGTTTATCCTTACTAAATGGAAAACATGCTACTTAAAAAACAGATATAATACGAAATTTAAGAATGAAAAAACATATAAAAAATTTCCATACATTCAGAATATTTTTGATTATTGTAGTAATAGCCTTAAAAATTATAACATTTGTTTGGCCCCATCTTTGACCAATAAAATTTCACAGAATATATACAGATACATAAATATTACTAGTGTTAATAAAATTGATTGCCTAAAAAAAGCTGGGGTTGTATACAGGTTAGAATGTGATTGTCTGAATCCATATATATACATAGGTGAAACAGGGCGTGTGCTAGATGTTAGAATAAAAGAACATGAAGCAGCCATCAGATTGAAGTACTATAACTCCCCGTGGTTTGATCATACAAATAACAATAATTGTAAAATTAACCGTAATAATATAAAAATTCTACATTTTGAAAAAGACATTTATAAAAGGAAATTTAAAGAGCATTTAGAAATAAGGAAACAAAAAAATAATTTAATAAATTCCTCTGAAGGTATGCAAATTTATCACCGGTGGTATGAATTAATAGATGGCGCTAAAACGAGTTAATTGTTGTTATTATGTTTAAACATGATATAAATTTTTTTGGTAATAGTAAATTTCCATAATACTGGTATAATGAAATTGTTGTTTGTGTATCAATAGCTTTTACATACGTATGGATTTTTTGTTACTGTGTCAATAGTTTTTTACTGTGTCTGTTATACACCCATGTGTAATGAAAAATGTAAAAATGGAAAGAATAATATTTTAATTTTTTTAAAATGTTTTGATTTTTTAATTTTTAAAAGTTTGTGTGTACCACTCCCCTTAACCCCACATCTGCAATGGTCATAAATTCGGAGAACCAGGGGAAGAGATCACTTGGTCAGGGGATAGAGGAGTGAAAAGTCCCCACCTTGCAGACTGGACATCTGGAGAACAGACGTTGAATTCATCCGTCCTTAGTATCAATTTTTCCTTCGAGTTAAACTATAGCAATCTTTATTTTGTATTTTACATATTAATATGGTATGCATAGTATTTAAGTTAAAACATAAATTGATGTTTGTAAACGGTCTACCCTCCTACCTCCTAATTTGTGAAAAAGCAAAATAAGAAACAATTTTTGTTGTGTACTTAATGAAAAAATGTAAGTGTTTTTAGTGTTTTTTGGTTTGTTTCATTTAATGTAATATAACATAGTCATGTTTTAACACTTTTTGTTTATTTGAACTAGCACTGAAGAGGGGTTGGAGTATATTATACCAACCCGAAATATATTTGTAGTTCAATGAAAAATAAAAGTTAAATTTGCTAACCAGAAATTGCTGTGAGATACGTCTACCAAAGCGTGTGTTTTGGATTACAGAGACGAATTTACATTGTTAATAAATACTTCATTGAAACTATTCACATCATTAATTGGCACAAATATCAAAGCAAACAAAGATTTTAGTTTCAGTTTAAAATTTATATTATTTTCAAATCTTATTTCGAGGCCTACAGAATTTACTTCAATGATTAAAGTTTGTTGTAATTGGAAATAGCAGCCTTATACTTCAGCATGTGGAAAAGCAATAAGAGAAGCTGATACATATGCTTTTTCAAAATCAACAAATATATATCAAGATAACGTAGATGTAGCAACATATCAAATGTATTGTTATAAATTTCTTGAATTTTCTTTTTCTTGAATTGTTGAATTTTTTTGCAACAAGAAGTAAATACAGTAAATTCTCTAATTAGTGAACTAGAAGGGACCATATTTTGAATGTTTCATATAAGGAGAATTCTATTTAGGGAGAATAAAAAGAAATGATGAGTTACAATTTTATAAGTATAAAATGCATTTATTCATAACTTTTTGTTAAAATAAAACATAAGGAACAAATCACATTTAAAAGCCCTTAAAAACCATTATAAAATTGTACAAATTACACTGTATGAAAATCAATGTAAATTGACAAAATTACAACACAGTATATTATAACTGGATAGGGGAGGGGGTTTGAATGGGAACTCAAGTGGATACTATCTGTCATGAAGAAGTGGTTGCCAGATCTCACTAATATTTAGATCATCATTTAAGTTCATTTTATATTTATTTATTTTAATAATTTCTAAATGTTCATATAATTTCCTTTTAATAATAATTTTACTCTTTTGGGGATTTTAATATTATCAAGTGAGATCTTGCAACCTTCTCCATTACAATGTATGGCTACTGCTGAATTAGTGTAATTTTATAGTGTGCAAATGATCTCTTAGTCTGATTTTTAGGGCTCTTCCAGTTTCACCTATGTATTGATAATTTAGTTGGCAACTGCAGGAAATTCTATATATAACATTATTTTGTTGCATTATATCAATATTTTGAACAATACTTTCTTTATTAACTACTGGAGCTAGGGTTATATTGTATGGTTTTAATAGTTTTTTTTAACTTTTTCAAACACTAATTAAGTTTTTTTATAGGTCATTTGACTTTGTAATGTAGTTTTTGGGTTTTATTGAGATCAGTATTGTTAAGACATTGTTAAAATATCTTATTTGGATAATCATTTAGTTGGAAGATTTTATAAATATGTTCTGTTTCTTTAGTTTGTTCAACATAACTGCTCGTATGTGTTTTAATTTTGGTGATGTACTGTACATGTCAAGTATATTTCTCTTGATAGGTTTGCTTCTGTCATTGTAGCAGGTGATAAAACATGGATGTACATTTGATGGATGCATCTGAGAAGTCTTTTCAGTAATGAGAAAAGAAACATCAAAGAACCAATTAAAAGGACTGTTATGGCATGACAATAATGCTCATATGTATACAACTCATTAAAGTATGGGCTTTATCTCAGGTAAAAAAGTTCAAATAAAGCCCTGCCCCATTTATTCCTCTGATTTGGCACATTGTGACTTAATTCTATTCCCTTTGTTTAGGAAAAACTTTAGAGAAAGTGCTTTTCATCACATGAACTGCTTTTATTAATGCCATTCAGACCATATCTAGTAATGACTGAATTGTTTCTTCCAGAATTGATTTGAGTGCATGAAAAAAATGTACATATGCTCATTGAGAATAGTTAGTTACTGTTCAATAAAAGTTGTTTTAAAGGATTGTAATTTTTCTGATTCTGAAAATTTTTGAGCATTCCACATAATTTCTGTAAGAAATACATGTAGAGTTTTTGATAAAATTAAGGAAAATGAAATTATAGCCTTATATGTAATTATATTGATTTGTTTGTTTATTTTATGAATAAAATTACATAATGAAACATACAAAAGAAAAAATTACTTGCAAAGATCAAACATTTCTAATTGAAATTTGAATCAGCATTAATAGAAGTTAATTTGAAGATCTGAAAAGTTCTTTTAATATTTACATTTAATATATTTTTATTTTAATGTGTTTTTATGATTGTTTATAGATAAATTTTATTTCTCGTCTAGATGTACACACCTTTACATGCTGCAGCAGCCGCTGGCCATGTAAATGCAGTAAGACTGTTGTTAGAGCTAGGAGCAGAATTAGATATTGTTAATGTTTATGGAAATACACCATTACATATAGCTTGTTTAAATGGCCAGGAAAAAGTTGTTGAAGAATTAATCAATGCAAGAGCTTCTGTGAATGCTGTTAATCATCGTGGACAAGTAAGTATAAATCTGTAATTTCATATAATTTAATAATAATAATAATTTATGAAAGAAAATATTAGAGATGGAGATGGACAAATATCACTTTATTCACGTTTGAATATCAAATTCAAATATTAACCAGATCTTGAATATTTAGATTTCTTATATATTTGAATCCCCCAAATACTTAATGAATTTAATTGTCTTAACTATTCTATATATGTAAAATATTTAGCTTAAAATAGTCATGATACTTTATTCAATCATAAAAAAAAAAATAAAATAGAAACAGTTGCACTAAGAATTGATGAATTGTCGCAAAATATTTGAACAAGTGGGTGAATTGAATAGGGGTTGGGCTGCTTAGCTACAAATTCTATTATTATTATTCACAAATACATCAATTTGTAAATAATAATTATGAATTTTTGAACAAGTGGGTCTCCCTATTAGGTGTGTAACTAATTTGATTAAATAATAAATATTAACTAAATTATTAACTTGCTGTATGTATTTGAATACATTGTATTAATAAAGTAAAATAAAAGGNAAAAGTTGTTGAAGAATTAATCAATGCAAGAGCTTCTGTGAATGCTGTTAATCATCGTGGACAAGTAAGTATAAATCTGTAATTTCATATAATTTAATAATAATAATAATTTATGAAAGAAAATATTAGAGATGGAGATGGACAAATATCACTTTATTCACGTTTGAATATCAAATTCAAATATTAACCAGATCTTGAATATTTAGATTTCTTATATATTTGAATCCCCCAAATACTTAATGAATTTAATTGTCTTAACTATTCTATATATGTAAAATATTTAGCTTAAAATAGTCATGATACTTTATTCAATCATAAAAAAAAAAATAAAATAGAAACAGTTGCACTAAGAATTGATGAATTGTCGCAAAATATTTGAACAAGTGGGTGAATTGAATAGGGGTTGGGCTGCTTAGCTACAAATTCTATTATTATTATTCACAAATACATCAATTTGTAAATAATAATTATGAATTTTTGAACAAGTGGGTCTCCCTATTAGGTGTGTAACTAATTTGATTAAATAATAAATATTAACTAAATTATTAACTTGCTGTATGTATTTGAATACATTGTATTAATAAAGTAAAATAAAAGGTAAAAAGAAAAACAATTTACTGATTTCTAAGAAATGAAACTTAAGATTTTTTTACAGTACCTTCCTTTTAGGTACTGTTATCTTAACTACAATAGATTAATAAATAATTATTTTCATTCTCACCTACTCCAGATTTTTATTTTAAGAAAAGAAGCATTGACACATTCAGGTTATAGTCTGCTTCTTTTCTTGTTGTAAATTCAATCACAAATGCCAAAGAGATTGTATTTGTAGATTGATATTGGAGTTATTTGTAGTATTCAAATTTATTATTTTTTATCAATATCATAATCAAGATCTCAAATCTTGACTACATTCCATTATTTGTGGATGGTATTTGCCCATCCGTATGATTAACAGTAAAGTGAAAATGTTTAATAATCTAAAGGTAACTTTTTAAGTAGAATGATAGCAGGATGGCCAAGGAGATTAAGGCATCACACTATGGCCTGGATAATCTAGAATCAAATTTAGTTAAACAACTTTATGAAATGTGCTTGGACGATCTGTGCCAGATATGTTGGATCTCATCCCTTACCATTTGGCCATTCCTATTGTGGGTCTGGCTGAACCAATAATGGACATGGGATAAAAGGCCCTCTTTCCATCTTAGAGGTTCTAAGATGTACCCATAAGGTGGAAAGAATCAATAGTGAAAAAAGTAGACACTAAATGATCTGCATAATAAATATCATATAGAAGTATCAGTTTATTCATTTTTGAATATGTAACTTTATTCTGCAATTTTTAAAATAAATGTTATTTTTGACTAAATACTTGTAGATAACAAGGATAAGTTTTTAATTTGATATAAAACAGCTTGATTAGGAAAATTTTAAAATTAGAGATAGTAACAACACTTATTAAATTTAATATGTATTTATCTAAATTTCCATATTTTAAATTTTTCAAATTATGATCATCTTGTGAAAATTTATTAAGCAAAAAATTATGTGAGAATATATTGGATTAAATTATTTTAAATTGCAAGACTGCATATATGAAATTTTATTTGTCTCATAATTATTAATATTGAATTAGTTATTGCATTTTTTGGAATTGAATTCAAGAAGAATTCAATTGTTTTGTATTATTAAAAATATTCTTTATTATTTAAAATTTTTTAAGTACAGTCAAAACTTGATTTAGTGCCAAAATTTGTTTACCTCTTAAATTTATATTTAGTAAAGTATGGTGCTAAACTGAAGTGCCAGTAAGAATTATATATAATAATGAGATTCACACACAAGTTAGAGAGATTGAAAGTCACATTATTTGGTGAGAACAATGCCATTTTCAATGCAAAGTCAAACATTTAGTGATTCATAAATACTGAAGAATTCTCTATATAATATGTTTGGAGAAGATACATTTACATGTATTCATTTAATGTTTTACAAAGTAGGCTTAGGAGGGCACTACATTAATGTTTGAAAACTTAATTTTTATAAGATAAAATGCAGAAAATGTTATAAGTCATTTCATATTTCTTTTTGTATTTTCATATAAATATGAGTTTTAAAAATAGTGTAATTTAATTTTTTCAGACTCCCCTCCATTATGCTGCCGCCTCTACACATGGTGGAGGTTGTTTAAATGTATTGCTCAGGGAAGGTGCTGCTGTTAATGCTCAAGTAAGAAGTGATACATATTTTTTATAATTGAAAAACATGTAAATAATTTCATAATAATTCATTTTACAAACTTATGCATATCACATTTGAGAATATATGGAAACTAAATTTACTGATAAAAAAAAATAAATTTTAGTGTAGTGTTTGTGTGGAAGTAGAAAAATTATTTAAATAATTAATATTAAGAAAGTATTTTAACATTTTAATGAATTATTTTACAACAGAAGAAATTCATTTTAACAGATCTTTCCTCATGGATATCTCAAAAAAGTTTATGATAATATTTTACTTTTTAAAAAAAATTTATTTGCATTTTGAATTGCCAACACCACTGGACTTCACTATTATCAAGTGGTTTTGTTGAATTTACTTTAAAACATAATCTGGAAAACTCATGTTAAGATAACTGAAATCTGAATCTCTACCTCATCTTTAAGAAAAGATTTGTTGGAATGATATTTTTTGCTACATGGAATTGTTTCTTAAAGTTTTTTACTTTTAATATTAAGTATTTCCATAATATTTTAAAAGAAATTTGGTATTTAAGATAAAAATCTAACTTAATGTTTATTTAACAAAATTTTTAAGAAAATATTTGTGAATAGGTGTAGGTAGATTTGATGGAAACAATGTTTTAGAAAAACTAAACTTAAATGTTTTGGAACACTGATGTTAGAAAATTAGACTAACATAGTTCAATAGTATATGTATTAAGAGGAGAGAACTGAAAATTTAAAATTGAATATATATTTATAAAGTGAATCATTGATGACAAAACTCCTACTTTGCTCTAAATTTATAGACAAAATAATCATTAATTCCATAGTTATTTTAAGGATAGGAGAAAAACTTTAATATATTGTAGAATAAGACCAATGAATGATGCATAAAACAATAAATTTTTCCAGACTAGGAACAAAAATTATTGAGACCTTCCATTTTTTAATTTCTAAAATGACACAATGTTGGAGTAAATTATGTATTACTGCAAAATTTATTTTCCTTCAGTTTAACATTGCTATGGATAATAAGTTACAGAACAGATTGTAATTATGTTATGAAAAAAGAAAACTATAAGAATTATCAATTGAGATTTAAAATAGACAAGAAGTATGTATGATCTGTAACATTTGAAAGTAGTAGCACTACAATTTATCTTTTGTGCCATTTTGCTGCCAAATTTTACATTTAATCAGTCTTATGTTGTGACTTCTTTAATGTAAATTTTTTTCCTTCTATCTTCAATTGTTAAAAAGTTAATGCTTGACACTTAAGTTTGATCAGCTATTAGGACAATCATCATCTGAACACTGAATTTACATTTTATAAAAATGAGTGGATTTGAAAAATACAATAGACTCTCAGTTAACTGTCACCCATGGGAATTGGTAGATGCTGGATAAATGTAGTTTCTGGTTGGTTGAGTGATAATTAATTGCTTAGTTGTGGTAAGTTATTTCTGGTTTCTTTCTCATTTGTTAACATGTCATCACTATTATAAATAGTGCTATGGAAGCTTCATGTTCTGGTACTAGATGGAATACAAGGAAGTTTGCAATAGTAGTTGTTAAATGTATGATTCTTTACAGTTAATGCATACTATAAAAAATTAACAAAATTAATGGAAAAGTCGTTTTGCCAAAACTAGCAAGCAGTATTGAAAGGATGGATTTACTCTGATTTAGTGAAGTGAAAATATCCAAAATGTAGTAGAAATATTATTTGTTTATTGTAATGAATCCATTGACCATATAAAGATTTTATTTTAAGGAAAAATTCCTTTAGACTTTGTAAATATAATTGAAATAGAATATAAAAATTAGGGATTTTATTTTTTAAGAGAATCAATTTAATTTTAATATATCCATGATCTTTTAAGATTCATTTGAAGACTGAATGTTATTAAATAGGCTTTCAGAACATAGAAATAATAGTTAATTGGTATAATTTTTTCTTGTGAAGATGATGCAGAAACAATTAAATTTATGATATATCTGACAGATAAGACTCTTTAAAATGAAAAATTCATAAAAATCGAAATAATTTATTTGTTAAATATTCATAAATTTTTAAGATATTACTAATTTAATTTTATGAATTTTTTAATGATATATGAATTATAATTCAGGTATTTAACACCTTAAAAAAGTTACCTTATATCTATGCAGATAAGACGATAGTTGAATCATGAAAAAAGGCCCCCAAAATCCGGGGTCGTCTTATAAGACAGATACAAAAAAAATTAGATTGAAATTTATATAAATTAAAACCATCATAAAATAAATCACTCACCAATGTATTTAATTAGCCCATACGAGGTTTTTATGAATAGTCAAGGTCATTACCTGAATGCCCAAATCAGTGCGAATGTTTGCAATAATTGCAAGGCAGTACTGTCAGATGCAAGAAAATAAAATTTGTTCATTTGAAAAATTGCAAATAGGACATAATTTCATATATGCTATGAAATTAGCATATATGCAGCAATCAGCAATCATTATCCTGTATTATCCAGATAATGATTGCTGATCTAAACTAAATTCTTAGGTAGTTGATAGTTTAGGAGTTGTCTTATAGGACAGATATATGCTAAAACTATAAAACTTTGACGAAAATTTACACCTCGTCTTATCTGAAGGTTGTCTTATCTGCACATATATACAGTACTTAAGCTATTTTTTATGGAATGTAATGTATTCTAATTATTTTTTAATTTTTGTCACTACTATCAATCTTTTTATTACTTTTATTAATTTTTCTAATTAACATATTGGATTGCTTACAAATGCTAATTTTTAAATGTTTAATCTATGCAGTTGGTATATAATGAATTTAATCAATTGAGTGTATTATTTTTTATTAATGAAATAAATATACTGTATTTTAATTGTGTGAGTGACTGTCTGAGTTTCATCTCCCATCTGCATTCAAACATTTTGTTGTCTACTGCCTGTAGGAAGTGTCAAATAAAAATGGTGATTCTGCAACATAGGAGACATTTTTTTGTTTTGCAGTTCACAGTCAGAATCACTCATCATTGTGGAACAAAATAACCCGCAAGAGCTGTAAAATTGTGGTTGTTGTGGGAGGTATGACAACGGATGTGCCATATTGAGGACAGGAAGAATTTGAGTATTGGTTGGATCAATTTCTCAATGCCATGTTACACGCATTGAGAAATTGTAATGGGCAAATGTGGCACTTGGACAGTTTTTCAATGTTTTAAGATACAATGTTCTTAAGTGATGATTAACATAATTAGAATAATTTAAAACAGTAGCATTCATTTTGGAAGACACTATATATTTTTGTTAAATCATGTTATTAACCAGAAAACTTCATGCTAACAAATTGTGATATTTTTAAAATTGAATTAAGATTTTGAATGTCAAAGCATATTGGCTGAAAAATTAAATTTTGAATGGATAATTTAAGTAAAGCAATTTAAAAATATGCATTTATTAGATTACTTTATTAGCTATATATTTTTCTAATGATCATCTGAAGAAATACAACTTTTAAAAAAACTGTTAGTAAGTACTTTTAATAATGCTTGTTTCAGAGTCGAGATGGTCGCACTCCTCTCCACATGACAGCAATTCATGGACGATTTGCAAGAGCACAGACATTAATTAATCATGGTGCCTTAATAGATGGAATGGATAAAGATGGATGTACAGCTTTACATATAGCAGCACAGTATGGCCATGAATTACTTGTTGGTTATTTGCTTTCAGTCCATGCTGATCCTAACAAGTAATTACTTTTTATTATTGTGATATTGTAAAATAAAAATAAATACATTTTAATATGAATGTTACTTATTTAATATGTAAGTAAAAATTAAGTAAAAATTTAAATTGTGTGAGTAAAATAAAATATAATAATGATCAATAGGATGACTATCACGCCAAAATACAGTGGTACCTCAAGATACAAAATTAATTTGTTCCGAAACTGAGATCATACCATGAAAATGTCGTAAAGTGAATCATTTTTTCCCATACGATTACATGTAAAACCAAATAATTAGTTCCAACACAAAAAACACACTCAAATTAAAGCTAAGTAGTACATTAAAAAAAATAACTATAGTAAGGAAAACACTGAAAAATGTGTTTTGTAGTTGTAAATGTATAAATAACCATAATAGAATGATAACTGAATAAAAAAAATGTAGTTTTATTTGCTCTTATCTTTGAGGATAGATGACGGTGGGGGTGTAAACTGGTGGTGGAAGAGAGGGAGAAGGGAAATGATACTAAAACTTAACTTACATAACATAATGTAACAATAACTTAAAAATAACTTAAAAAAGATAAAAATTTAGTGTTGTTTTATATATATATGTTACAGTCAAAACCCGTTTTTAGTTAGAACGCGTTTTAACTAGTTGAAACTAGTTTATACTGAATGTCTTTGTTAAAACCCGTTTTGTCTAGTTAAAACTAGTTT